GCTGGATACCCTACCTTTCCATTTCCAGCCAGAGTGCCAGATATGGAATGGTAGGGTATGGCAGTGTCTGAGGATTTGGGTGTACCAGGTGCTGGTCAAGACACCAAAGCCACTAGAAAATGAGGAACCCACAAGAATACGAGGATCACGGTGGGATCAAGAAAACAAGGTGATGTCTAGAAAATGACCCTGCCAGCATGCCTATGAGACCTGTGATCCTCATTTCTAGTGACCTACATGTCACTAGAAAATGAGGCTCCTGGCCCCTTCTCGGTGAGTTTACCTTTTTGAGACTAAAGAATGACCGTTTTCTACACACGTCGACCCCTTCCATTTTCTAGTCCGAATATCATGGGGGATTAATATATACAGATACATGATTGTATATTTCCATCTGAAAGAAAACCCAGCCACAGTCTCCACCGTGCAAGAGACCGTGCCACTGCTGCAGTTCAGGGCCTGCACTCGCCAGTTGCTGTTGTCTGTGACCAGCATCCGCTCCCCATCGCAGGCGGCCCCGGCAGCAAAGCTCGAGAGCTGGAAGCTCGCATTGCCGGGAGTCCATCCATCCACCAGCTTGCAGCTCTCGGTGCAGTCTGTGAGCTCCGGCATCGCAGCACAGGCACAACGCAGCACGCCACTGGCTCCTGGGCCTGCAAAGACGAGGTAAAGGGCGTCCTGGCACCAGGTCATACCACCCAGGGAGAAGGAGCGATTCACCCGCGGCAAGGCCCGGTCCACATCCACCAGGACTTTCACTGGGCAGGAGGTGTCCTGGCACCAGGGGTCCAACTCAACGACCTGATGGCTCTTCAGAGCGGCCAGGAGGCGACCATTCCATGGCACGAGGCCACTGTAGGTCTCAACGTGCTGGGCGATGGGAAGAGCTTTGCCACAGCCACTGACTCCACAGTCCGCACGCATCAGCTCGTCCTTGCCCAAATTCGTGAAGAAGATGCTTCCGTCCAGCGCATGGACGCCGGCCCAGAGAGCCACTAGTAGGAGTTTCATGGCCATGTACTACAGTGGGAAAGATTCTAGGGGCGTCTGACCTGCCCTGCGAGAACTGCGGTCAGGCCACAACTCGTATCCGTGTCAGTGGGCTCCAAGCATGTCAATGCAAAGACTTCGCGAACTCGATTGGAACATTGACATTATTATGACATTAGATGGCACTGGATCTTGGCATCGCCAAGATCGGGCAGGGGTGACCTGAGCAGGCGCATCTCCTTGAAAACATCCATACGTGCTGCACTGGCTACAGCATGCCGTGGAACGCACACTCCACTCACGTGGAACGCATACACATGCGTGCGCGTAGTGGGCCATGGGGATGCCTCACATCAGGCAATGCCTCACGACCGCAGGTGGTTTCCCATGACCCAATTTAGACGAGTCTAGCAGGTTCCATGTGAATTAAGTCAAACGTTCGTCCAAAATGGTCTACAATCCATGTGTGAATTAAGTCGCTTGTTAGTCACTAATCGATGATTCTTGGGGGGATCTCAGCCAGCAACGCCCCTTTTTAAGTCCACGCCATCAGAGGAGGATTGACCAAACGACCTTCATGGCTGGTGACCCGAAGTCAAATGCACAGATGTGACGCGATGCCTCGCTCCAACCAAAAGCAGGAGGAAATGAAGTGAATGCTTTCGGGTGTCAAAGTGATTTCTGGGTGATGCACTTGCCAGCACCAATCGACCCCTTCTCAACAAACCCTGAAAACAGCGAAAAGATGCGAAAAGTCCTACTATACCTCCAACCCAATCCCAAGCAACCCACCCCCAACTCCTCATCCTTTTCCACAGCCCCCATCCACCCCTCCATCCGAGGCACAGATCGTGCACAGGGAAGCCTTGCCCCCGCACAAGGGTCGGAGTAGCCCGAAGCCTGACTTGGGAATGATTGGATAGCACGCCACTGGCGGGAGAGTGTCTAAGATCAGCTCTGTGATCGAGTGTGTCGAACTCTTCGGACTGAAAAAAGCAGTAGCAACTGGCTGAAACAACAATGATCTGATCTTACAGGACACAGGCAAGCCAAAAATCATGTATATACTTGTATAGACTTGTAGATGAACTGGACCTCTGTACCCTTGCCCCAGGGCTGCTTCTACTGTCTTGGCACTAATCCTCTTCTTGTTTCATGAAGTTTCGTTTGTGGCAAAACCATGTTTCATGAAGGAAGCACGGCGGCGCTCTCACGTCTCCCCGCCTCACGTCTACCTGTGCTGCTTCGAGTGAACAGCCGGAGCTTCCGCCCTCTTCGCCCTTGTCCCCCAACGCCGGGAACCGGCGCGACGCGTCGTGGATGACTGTCTGATGACTGTCTGAATGAAAAATGTATAGACTGTCTGATAAGCTGAGAAGCCAAGATCGAAGAACTTCTTAAACAACAGTAAGAGCCAGGCAAGAAGAACAATAAGCAGCAAGCCAAACGCGTACTTTTCGGGTCATAGCTTCTTTTAGGGAGGGGGGCTCTTGGATGAACCCCAGACAGGGTGAACAAACAAGTAAGGCCTTGGCTTCGGCTTCGGTCGTGTCAACCCAGGGTCCCATGCCTGGAGAGGTCCCGTGCATCCGCTGTGCCACCTGGTCCGACGTCGAAACCGGACCGGAAGTGCAGCTCCAGTTCAAACCTGATGTTGTTTGAAGAAAGAACTACTAGATTTCGTTATGACTCGACTGACCTTCCTTTAAGCAGGGCCTAGCTTGGTGAAGAACTCCACTGAGTCTTCAGAGTGATGGTCATCATGTCTGCAGAATGGTTTCTTGGTCTTGGAGTCTCATCTTTCGGGCTGGTTCTCCAACATCTGACCCTTTTCTGCACACATCTTTGCCTGGCTGCCACACAACATCGCTTGTCGTGGCACAGGAGGGTTCGTTAGCAGCATTAGCAGCATGATCATGCATTGATCCACTGAGGAATGTGCTAATTCTTGAAAGCAGCAAGGGGTCTGTTCACAAGTCTGGTCGAACTAAAAACGTCCTATCCTATCGCGATAGCACACCTCATTCTGCAGGTCTGAGAATCTGCCAGGCCATGCGGGCATGCCCGAAAAAGGGCTTCGGGTTTGGACAATGAGGCCTTCCCAAACTGGATCACAGGTGGTGGACAATCCCTCATCTCGAGCGGCCAAATGACTCAAAAGAATGGAAACGTCTTCACAGAATCGTCATATGTTATGCATGCGTGCTCTCGGACATGAATTGCCACAGGTGGACTGTTCTATCTTCCTGACCCTGAGGTCTTTTTCGGAGAGTCCACTCTCCAGTGTTTGGTGCGTTCGGTGCCACGCATCTCCTGCGATCGGCTCTTCGCCGGACGAGCCCAGCTACACCGCACCGGATGCCACGCCACGGCGCCGCCACGGCATCAGAGCACGGAGTTGGGAGACTCGGGCAGCATCCCTTGCAGCCGTTGGACTTCGTGACGCCTCGGCAGACGGAACACCGGACTGTCTCGGCGCCTCGGATCCAAAGAGGGGAAGTCTATGGGGGATGTCTTCCATTGGATTCCTTGGTCTATTGACTTGGACGTGCCTTCGTTTCGATACGAAAGCAAGGGAAGCCTGCCCAGGAGACTGAACTGGTACGAGGATTGAGAATCATCCAGGAGACTGAATCCGGTTGGTGGCTTCCAGTCACAAAAAGAAAACTTTGAGGACCTGTGGGTTCAATCATCCTAAGTAAAGGTTGAACATCAAAATATCTGCAACTACTACCGGACGTTTTCTTCGCCAGACTGGAGGGATGTCGTCCGTCCCCGCCCCATCGGTGAAAAACGGCCGGCTCAGTCGATGGCAAGGCCAGCTCCCGGCGTTGTCCTGCTGCCCATCACCCGTCTGACAGCCCCAGCCCGATGATGCCTATCACCCACGAAACCAAACAACTTCAAAACCAAAACAAGAGCCCAAAATAGCTGTACTGGATGAGTAGATGGACAAATGTCCAAAATCGGTGGTTCATGGTGGTTCATATGGATCCCCATCTAAAGGACATGTAGGGATGCCAGTGGCCATCTCTATAGTCTGAAACCACTGTATGGAATTGGTGCATTGAGGAGAGTGAGGAATGATCATCCCCATTGGGACGCGGTGTAACGCGTCATCAGAGTTTCGAGCCGCTCTGCTGGATCCTTTTGACCCAGGGTCGACTCCACGATTATGTCAACGCAGGGAGATATACCCTGATGCGAAAGAGATCACTTAAGATTCATTGCTGTGCTTCTGAGTTGGTCCATCATTGGTCTTTGGATGTCTTTGGACCTTGTGCAAGTTGACTGATTCATCATGATTCATCTATCTCCAACGATGGAATTCAGAGAGGGATCGATGCTGAAAAGAAACTACTTAGAACGACCGCTTCAAATTGAAGGGATTATATAAAGAGTTTGAGGCATGAGCAAGGGCCTATATCCGTCCAAAAGCTTCGACCCCGAGGAATCGTAGCTAAGACCTTGTGACAGCCGTGACAGCAGTTGTTGATCAAGTCAAAGAACACCCGTAAACCAAAACAATTTTGGCATCACAACCACCAGCGACTACATAACGAATCCCCCCCCACAGCTTCAACATGCTTCAACCATCTTCAACACCTGCCAACCGCCTCGCAGCACCCGAATTCCGCGGAAAGTTGGCAGAACAGCGGTCCCTCCTTCTTCCAGGTGTTGAGCAAACGCTTTCTTGAGCTCTTCTAGCTCCTGTCGTCTCACGAGAACACCACCGCCGTCTACTTCCGACCGACCTGATGGAGTCCGACCGACCGACCGGTGATTCGAACCGCCACCGGTCCACCGTTCGTTCGAGAGCGGAGAGCGGCCGCGGCCCGACGGGGTCGGATCGGAGGATCGGAGTTCGGTGGTTTGGCCTCGGTGTGGGAGATGAGAAACAGACGAGGCACCCGATGTTCTGGGGTATGGGCTAAAACGGCTAAAAGTAGACGCTCCAAAAGTGAAAAAGCCTCTGATGGCCACTTGTAAAGTGGCCTGTGTATGCCTGTGTGGGGTGGTTGATCTCAAAGATCGATGAGACACACCCAACTTACTATAAACTGATGGTCCGTGCTGGTCCAGTGCTGGTGTCTGCACTCCTTGCCGTCCAGGACTCTCTCACCAGGCGCCACCATAAGCTGGTCACTCTGACGGTGCGACCCCAACACCTGCTCTCCACCCTTCCTCTCACCTGCCTACCACCCACCTCCCGCGGGTCCCAAAAACCGCTGCCTCTCGGTATGGTGCCCCGCGCAGCCCACGGAGGCCCGCCTGGAACGGAAGACGAGCGAGCAGCGCGGCGCGCTGCTTAGTTCGGCGCGTTTCGAGCGAGGCCGAGCGGCTTGGCTGCCCACAAAGAGAGGAAAATGGGCTGCGGTTGGACACTCCTAACCTGGTTGGACTGTAAAGACCTGTGAAGACCTGGGTGAGTCCAACCTGTGAATTTGGAGTGAGGACATCTGCGCTTGGGGAGCATGTCTGAGCCATGAGCAACTATTTCTGAGCCTCAGCTTCAGCCAGACGCTGCACGTAGCCCAAGAGCCGTTCCCCTAAAGGCACTGTAGCGATGGGCTGCGCAGACTCCTGCAGGCACACATTCTGATGCTGATGCTGGTCAAGGGCTTCAGCAGTGTTCACATGATCCGTCAGAGGAAGAAAAGCGTGGACAAACCCACGGTTCACATAGGTTCGCCTTCTAATCTAAACTCTTGATGAACAAGACCCCCCCGACATGGATTATAAGATATTGTAAGACCTCGTTATGTGCGGGGCTTCGAAACGTCAAACTTCCCGTCGCCTTCCTTGTTATTATGGACTCACTTCCCTGCTCTTCACAAGTTGGACTCTCCTCCAGTTGCGCGGCCACTTCCCGCACTTCAGACGCCCAATGAGGAATGTCCACCTGCGGCTGCGGAGCAGCGTTTAGATTGGCCACGGGCGTGTTCGTCTGTGTAACTCAGTGTGTGAAATAAAAGCGCTAAAAAAATGTCAATGAAAGTTCTGTAGTCACTCAAGTCAACAAACTCTTTCCAAAACGGACGATCAAGGCGTCCCAATCCTCGGCTTTCTTCCGCAGCGTCGCGTTTTCCTCGAGCAACCTGGGCCAACGGGTTTGGCCCCTGAAGGCGCAATATGGTTTGAAAGGCTGGGTCGCTCCGGAACGATTCGCAGCTCTGAAAGAAGGATGGTCTTGGATGATTTGGTCTCAAGGATGAGCTCCTTCAGGTTTTGGAGCGTTGGTTTTGGAGCTCCCTCTACTTGGTCTCAAGAATTGACCTACTAGGGGAACCTCCTTGACAAACCACCTCCTGGCCATCGCCCAACCCTCCTCGCGCAAGCCCGCCATCCGCCTGGCATGGCTCTCTCGCAGTGTGTCCAGCTCTTCTCGCATCGTAGCGACCTGTGGCCATCAGGGAGGCCGTCTGCTCGTGCTCCGGGGTCGGGGGTGGAGGGGGATTCGAAGGTCCCAGTGGTGAACGATGTTGGAACTGCAACACACCCCCAAAATCATCGCAAGACGGGACTTGCTGCATTGCCCTTCGTTCATTACAACGCACGCAATTCTTGGTGCAAGCTCGCCTCAGGGTTGCAATGTGAGCTCGAACAAATGTCCCTTGGTGTCTCTAACTAGGCCTTTTGCACTAGTCCACAGGGATTGCCACACGGGGAATATTTGGGTGTGCGTCCAGATGTTGGTGTTTCTTTTTGAATCTCTTTCGTGTTGTGGAAAAAATATTGGAGAGTATTGCGACGCACGCCGCCTTGGAGGCTACTTGTTTGTCGAACCACTTGTGGGCCGGCAAAGGCTTGGCGGAGAAATGTGCAAACAAAATTGAACAGAATGGAGGTCTGTCAAAATTGCGGTCCCCACTTCGGGGTCCTGATCAATAGAAATAGCATGATCTACGGAGTAGACAGAGTAGGCAGCAACGAATTCAGCATTGTTAAGCTCCCATTCACACCACCGAGCGCTGCTTGGACCGAAAAGGAAAGCGTCGACGAGGTCCAGTGAGCAGGGTGGGCCTGGGAGAATGATCAAAACAGTCCTTGCGATCTTGAAGGACTTGGAACTCTTCCCGGATTACTTCACGGATCGCCATCATGTAGGTGTCCAGCTGTTCCTTGCTGGTGCTGAAAAAGAACTCTAAGATCCTCTAAGCATGCAATGAGTTCAATGTTGTCTTTTAGGCTTAGATATATATACAAGAAAAGTGTTCCAAAGGATTCAACCACCCAGTTTCATCTAGCATCTCCCCTCCAGGCAAGTCCCCTTGGAGTATTGAATCTGTCTGACCCCCCGTGCTGCTTGAGCTCTGGATATGACCTTCGCGGGTCTCACAAATCCAAAGGTACCTCTTGCCTTAGCTGCTCGTGGAAACCTAGTACATCACATCATGTTTGAATTTTAGTTCCTGTTTGCCAGTTTCAAGTATGAAACGAAAGCTCAAAAACGACTGTTTTCATGAACTGTGGCCCAGTGGCATGGGTATGCCACGATGTAGCCGTCTTTCTGGGCTTCCATGAGGTCGGAAACGATCGTATCATCAGCACTTCCCATGCATTGAAACGCAGCTATGGAGAGAGCAGCTATGGAGAGAGTCACCTGGCACCCCAACAAGGCAACGAGCTGCAAATATCCTGGCAGCTGCTTACCGTAGACAAGGGCCATCACTTGTTGACAGAACATTAGAACGATGCACACAACTGCCACGACTGAACCCACAAAGCCATTGACAATCTGGCAGGGAAGCACACACACTCGGAAGAGGTAAGTCAAACACGATGAAGCACGGAGGTTGGCGAAGCTGAGAGCAGCACGTTCCCTTTCAAATTGATAGCGATCATTGATGACACCAACAAAGATGTTGAGGACGAAGATGGAAAAGAAGAGTATGCCACCACAAAGCACCAAGAGCTCAAGACTGTCACTGGGAGAATCTTCTGGCAGTCCCTGAGACAAAAAAGTGGTGAAAGTCATGAAAAGGGTCTGTGGCCATAACCTTGTGGCTTCCAGCTGCACTGTCAACATGGCATGCGTTAGCGCGGCGAAGGAGAGCATTGTGAAGACCAAGGCAGGCAGCAAACCTGGCTGTGTCTCAATTTGTTTAACGCTACCCAGCGAGCTAAGACACCGGTTTCAGCGCTGTCAACTTGGTTTGAGCGCTGTCAACTTGGTAGATGGGTCTGCTGTGGGCTTGCTGCTGTGGTGGGTGTTTGCCTGGATGTGTTGTCCGGATCGAATCCTTAGGAATGGCAGTTGCTTGGTGGATTGGAGATGGCCAGGTGGGTGGGTGTTCACACCTGTAAGAAGTGACTGATCCTGGAATCACGTCTGACTCTACCGATATGTGTTTCTTATCGTTCTTCGTGGCGTTCCGGCAACATTTCTGAACAGGGGTTGACCTATAGTAAAGTACCAGTACCATACTGGCTGTTCTTTGATAACCGGTTTTAGGGTCCACTGATACAGCTGGAGGTTTTAGGATTCACGGGTGACGTAAATAAAAATGTTCTGAACTCCGCACCTTTCAAGAGCTTCTGAAGCGGGACTAGAGCATGTCCCATCGCCTTGGCTGCCGGAGGCCTTCAATTAATTTTCCAACACACTATATATACTGTATATATACTGTATATAGTTATATATATATGTATAGATAGATTTATATATACTTATTATATATATATATGCTATATATATATTATAAGGATTGTTTAGGCTGCTAAGGGGCACAAGACCTTATTAGGACTTGAAAAGTTCTTAGGAGCGGCAACCGGGTCACCTCCGAGAGGGTCAACCCCTCGAGCAGGCGCGCCCAGTAAATCAGCACGACCAGCAGGCGCAAGCAGCGGTGCCCATGGAGGACCAATGGCAAGATGGGAATGATGCTGCGGCTCAAGTCCCAAATGTTGCCAAGGGTGGCCTCGGTCTGCCAAAGATTCTTGTTCAGACATTACGAAAAAAGCAAGAGATGTCTCAAAGGCGAACCTAGCGGCATAGCTGCGTAGTTCCCCTACCAGATCACAGCCCCAGATCTGCACAAGCTCCAGCAAAAGGTCAACGATGCCTTTTGCAATGATCCAGTCAGCAACCACGCCATGCGTCAGGCTGTCGGCAGCATAGCTTGGGTCAAATGCCTCTTCTGTCATCTCCCTATCACTTCCCATAGCCGCCATAGCCGCCTCGTGCTTGTGCAAGGTCTCTATAACAAGAAGGATGAGGCCCCAGAGTGCAAGGATGAACTGAGAAACTTCCATCCACACAGCACCGTTCCAGAAAGTATGGGACACTGCTGCGCGGATTGCGGGAACCAAGTGAAGGAATTGGCCTTGGTCTGCACTCCGAACAAGCGGTGCAAAGACTTTGGGCGAGATGATATTTGGAAGCCGGCAAACCTGAATCTTGACATCTTTGTACGGAGCAGACTTCTGGGCTGTAATCTGTTGGTGCCACGCTGGAGCTGAATATGTGGCGTCATTAAATTCCCATTGTGTGTCCTGCACGTAAAAGGTTACAAATGAAGGCACCCCAAAAAGCCAAACATACATCCTCGTGAAAACATGTTGGCCGGCGAAGGACATGCGCTGCGGTAGCGGATGCCAACCTGGGCACACTACTGCCGGCCTTGTTGTGCAAACGTTTAGCAAGGAAGCAAAAGCCTCCGGGAAGTCAAGAATCAAGCGGGCAATGTCCAGTGAAGACAGCTTGTCAAAAAGCACATCTGCCACACCTCCAGAGACGGTCACACCTCTGTCCGATTCGGCACGCATGAGACGCACCATAAAGGAAGGAATGCACTCCGGCGCATGGTGAATGAACACCCTTAGGCTGCTGAGGTGCGGGGGCGCCAGAGCGGCAAGGGCTTCCTGGCTCAACTTCCCAGCTTTGATACCCAGCTCGAGCGGAGTCTCTGTCCGCTCAGCCGAAGAAGAATCATCATAAAGAAATTCATGTGTGTTGCAACCATCTTCTTCCATCTGGTCTTGCACTGCGCGTATGGTTGCTTCGTTGCCTGTCATAAAGGCAACGTGCAAGCATGACCCCCCGTCGGCTCTCGTGCTGGCAATGTCTGATCCCCGAGCACACAGGAAGCTGATCATGTCTTTATCCCCACCACGCCCTTCTTTCCAAACAGCAACATGGATGACGTTGTCGTAGGGCAAGCCATCCCTCTGAACCATGCTCTCAATGCTGGCTCCCCTGTCTAGGAGCATCTCAACTAGCCATCTGTGGCCGCGGCTGGCTGCAAGATGGATAGCGGACCCTGTGACAAGTTGCTCTGACATGTTCGGACCCACACCACTGTAAGCGAATTCCTCAAGCACGGACGCAAGACCTTCATCAAGCTGCTGGCTGGCCTGCTCCGCATCGCCACTCAACACATTGGTGTGAAAGGAAGTACCAAAGCAGGTTCTGTTGTTCCATAGGAACTGCTTGTCTCAGCCGAACTTCGTGGCCTCCTAGAGGCGAACTCCTCGTACTCCTCCTCCACATCGTCACTCCTGAGGGCCTTGAAGTTTGCTCTGGCAAGCTCTACGTTCACCTGCTTCTTCACCAACGGCACAAAAGCCCCACTCGCAGACTCAAGGTATCTCAAGGTCCATGTGTGCACCGTTGCGGCGTTTGACTCCACCTGAGCCAGCTATGCCTTCGAGCAACTGCTGACGCATACACCTTTCAATTTCTCCGCCCCTGTATAGATGGTAGCTCATAGACGAATGGACAGTGACCAAGGCCCAACTAAGGGTGTCCAATGTATATAACTGGGTCCTGCCACAGTGCGGCTCAAAAACTCGGACTGATAGCTTCTTCTTCTACGGTGTTCCATTTTCCCTTGCACATGTCTCCCTGCCTGCGCAGGATCCAAGTGTAGCAAGTGAGATGAGGTCTTGCTCGTCTTCGGCTTGTCCTGCCAGTCACACATGCTCGCGCCGCTCGCGCGCCGCTCGGCGACAAAGGCGCGAGCGGCTCGCGCGGGTTGAGGGGTCCTTGCCCTGCGCGATCAACGGGATGCCCAGCTTGGGTCCTGGGACGGATGGAGTGGGAGACACTTAGTGCATACACCTTGAAGTAGATATCAAATATCAGATAAAACCTGAAGATCCATGTGAAACATCGAGAGACGCACCCAGTAGTGGTGGAAAAGTCCGCAGGAAGTAATTAGTGTCAAACCTGGCATGAGGTCTTAAATTCAAGTCGAATTTGTCCAAAGGTCTCCTGAAAATGGACAGTCTCCATGTTTGATGCCAATTGGAGGATGTTACCCCCCAGAAAAGGTGCCACTCAGTAGCTTCACCTGCCATGTCCATGTCTGCCATGTCTGCTCCGCTTCCGTCCGCCCGCCACCGCTCCCGTGAACTCCGGCCGCACGGTCTGAACGGCACCTCCCAGTGCCTCCGACGCGGACCGCCGTGGGGAGGGAAGTTTCGGCCCTCCAGAATCGACCGACACGACCCAGAATTATCTCACATCTTTTGGGGCAACCATCGCCTGGGAAGTCTGAGGCTGCTTGAAGGATTAGTAAAGGAATCTGGGCCTCTGTACGTGACCAGATGGGGCACGCCTCAACCCCCCTTGTGGGCTGCCAAAACCATCCAAAACCTGTCATCATTCTTCATTCTAGGGCGGTTGGTGTGTGCTCGAATGGTTTCGTGGGGAGTTCATATTTAGATGTGGCTCAAATGCCTCGACCCTCCTTGCTATGTGAAGCTGCCAAAGCCTCCGGTCCGTTGTGACCGTAGGTGTTTCAAGGCGAATCGGGATCAACTGTTGAAGTATGGGGTGTGGAGGGCTACGCATCCCAAATGGAAGCTTCTTTACCCACATGCCCTTCCGCAGACCTTCTTGGCAGCAACAAGGTCTGAGGCCGCCACATGCTGCTGGAGAATTCTAGACTCTTGACAGTAGAGGGGACTTAAACCCAACAAATCACCACGTGTGTGTTCATCCGCCAAGTGATCCACCATGTCATGCAGTTGATGAACAAAACCCGGACCCTGCACATCTGGAAACTAGATCCACCAGAAAAGAAAACTATATAGATGCTGTATTCTCTAGGGTATCTTTGGAATTGTATGGATCATCTTCTACCGTGATTCTCAGGGCGTCAACTAGCCAAGATCCCCGCGTAAATGCAAGTGATCACCTTGGCCGCATCCAGCGATGTTGTTTCGGGCTGCAAACGTACTCTGTGTTGTGGGACTCTATTGTGGCCTTTAAATAAATGCCTCCAACATCCTCCAACAATCACGGAAGTGAACAAGTGCCACTGGAAGGACCGGACCTTGTTGGAGGGCGAGTATTATGGTAATCATCGAAATTGATCACATTGACCACTCAGTGGTGTCTGAGGATTTAGCAGAGTCCACATTCTTCTCCTCGTACCTCTGAAGAGGTCGCGCAGCAAGACCAGCTGATGAGGGAGAATTCAAACCGTCCGAGACCTACTTCTGTGAAGTGCCAAGGCAATGGCCTTGTCAACTGACATGGAAACTGAGGATAACTGAGGCAGACCAAAGGAGCACCTGCAATTGACGGGCAGTTCTCCAACCCTAAATACGTTGTTTTGAATTGGGGGTTGTTTGGGGTGGATCTTCATCTAATGAAAGATCGTGGTCCTATGAGAAAGGCCTTGGTCATTCGTGCTCACGGGTCACTTGTCTTCTGCTGCAAGGGTCTTGAAGATTGGGGGCTCGGTGATGCTTTGATCACACCACGAAGAATCCAAAGTCCGGCGGACAAAACGGATCCTGGTGCCGTTTTTCCCAGGGGCGCATGGATTGAGAGGAAAACTCTGGCATCAGTTGACGAGGCAGTCCTGACCATTCCTGACCTACTCAACTTGGAGTGGTTGCTGCCCTTCAGTGTCCTCCCACGTTTCCCTTCGCACCGGCGTCGGTCGGTCCGGTCACAGGTCCGGCGTGTCGAACATGGAGCTCTCAGGAAGGCCCAGTTCACGGGCCTTGGAAGCCGGGCCCGTCGTGGAGTCATCACAGTGACATCGAACGCTCTCCACGGTCTCTCCACGGTCGCGCCCGGCTTCGCCGCGGTGTCGTTTCGGTGTCTTTTCGGCGCGGCGGGGCTGAAGCCAGGTGGTTCCCGGACGTGGGGCTTCTGGAGTGTGAGAATGCGAGCGGATTTTGTGATTGGAGAATCTGTCCCATTAAGAGTAGTGACAGGTTGTAGCCATTCATCTTCAAGTGCTCCATACTAGTCGGCACGGCGGACAAACAGAGCCAAGCTACTGCTGAAACACTCGGCTGCCCATGTGTCCGTTTTTGCGATTCATTCCGGCCAAAGTCCAAAGTGTGCCAGCCCGAAAGTTTGTCGAGGTGTTTCAATCTGTGTTTCATGGATCTTTTCAACAAATCCAACATAATCCAACTAATTTAATCAGTTGTCAGTTTGGTGATGTTTTCCCTTCCGTGTCCGTGTGTTCGTGTCCGTGTTCGTGTCCGTGTCAATGGACGAGGCAGTGTCCGGGTTGCCTCTCCAAGGTCTAAAACTCCGAAGTCGTGGATCGATGTGTATTCCCAATAAGGAGACCCCTGGCTGGCCCGGGTCAGGTCGGTCAGAGTGTTCCTTCTGACCTGTAGACGGGTCTGTGGGAGGTCTAGAGTCTATACTATTTTGATACAAAGCCATGTAGACTCTACAGCGGCACGAGCACCCAGCTCTTCCTATGCTTGAAGTAAGAACCCCTACAGCTCTTGCTATCTGTGGAATAGAACAGGACAGGCCCCCAAGATCTTTTCACAATCCAAATGAGGGAGGGTGATGAATCAAGAGTCTATACCAGGACCCAGCAGCGGAGTGGTTCATCAACACCCCTTATATAACCTCTTCAACACAACTATGAACAAACACCCCACGGCTCCGGCGGTACTGGTCTCATTCGATGCTGTCGAACCCCCGTAGCATTCGACTCCGCTCGACTCCGCCCGAGTGAGTCACGCCGTGCGCCGTGATTCATCTCGGTCAAAACCGCTGGGGGACGGGACTGCGTTCAGGAATTTGGTGATGTTCTCCTCGGAAACGGCAGAGAGGACCGGGCGCATCTGCTGCGTCCCAGGGCTCAGTCACCATGCTTGGAAGAGCTTTGGATCAGCATCCGCTACCGAGCCAGGGACCTTTCAATCAGTTGTAAACTTATAATTACGGTTATAAGATATATGCGTTTAAGACTAAGATGTTTAATAAATTCGTCACTCTGAAACATGGCCACGCTCTCAACTGGAATCTGGTTGGCCCCATCTTGCATGTCTAGTTGCAGAAGCTCACATTCTTCTTTGACTCCATCTCTCTGAAAATGATCCAAAATTCACGTGCGGGGCCTGAAAGACCTGACCAAACCGGAGCGCCTTCGCCTAAACACTCTTTCAGCACACGCCGGAATTGGCGTTCTCCACCCCCAAACGTCGCCCAGCAGCCATCTGTTTGAAGGGCACACACTGCTGGTTCACCGTCCTGCCACGCCGTTCACGGCGCGCGCGCGGGAAACCGTTCCGCGCGCGCGGATTCGACCCGACGGGCCTGATGAGACCGGGCTGAATGGCATTCACCAGGTCACACAACACCACGCCTGGAGCAGCGCAGCTTACTTCCGGGCCGAGGCAAGAACGGGCTGGAGAGGGTGGAACTTCAGATGCTGAACTGGGGATGTAGAATTTGGCGTTCGTGTTCTTTCATTCTGTGCAGAAAGCTCATAGTCTATCCGCAAATGACACTGGAACGGAGACACTCCCGACAAAGAGTTCTCCCCCTTTGGGGGTGCGGGTTGCCCCTTGAATGCTTCAATCTTCTTGGGCTCTGACGCTGAACCATGTAAGACTGTTCTGAAGATGTGATGATTGTCATGTACAAGTCTGCAAGCAGCTCCCATGACTCCAGTGCATCCTTGCCTGAGGGACTTCGCCAATCGGTTGGTGAAACAACATCTTTTCAAGAAAGGCACGACGAATTGTGCAGATCAGATCCGGTTTCTGATGCACTAGCTGAAGATTGTCCAAACTGAGGTGATCGTACAAGCCTCGAATTTCCACTCGAAAGTATTTAGAAAATGGGAGAAAAACAAAGAGACTCACCTCTTCCCACCCAGACCTCACCTCTTCCCACCCAGACCTCACCTCTTTCCACCCAGACTTCTTCTCCCCGTTGCCCTCCCTTCTTCCCTTCTTCCGGGCCTGACTTCAACCACTCCGCCACGCTCGCATCACCCTTCTGACCTCTGCAAAGCACCACCAAAGGAGCCCTGGCTGGGGATGAACACCCCAAGTGAGGCCACTCCAAGTGAGGCAGGCCACTCCAAGTTGTGACCGTTGCTCAACCCTAAAGCTAAGAGCCTGGCTTCCAGCGATGGCTTCAATCCATTGCACCACATCTTGCCTCAAGCTCAACCCCCGTCTCAGACGGACGGGGACGTCGAGCTCAACTCGTGTGTATTTCTGATGGGAAACTCCAGCGTCATGAGTAGGAGAGTCATGAACATGCTGGCTAAAACCCACTGAAATGGTTCCGAAGTACCTAAAAGACCTCGTGAACAAACTGGTGTAGAGTCAAACGCCAAGTTATAGCTCAAGGTTGAAAATTATGATACTGCACTCTCGTCAATGTAACACGAGCAAGTGAAGCAAGTGCCGACATACTTCTCCCCATCTTTCAGCTCTAAGTTCCGCGCTCGTTGTTGGCACTGCGCTTGGACTTCTGGTCCCATGCGGCTTCCGCTTCTGCTGTGGAATCCGCCACGGTGGCATCATCGTCCATTGAAGCCGACAGCTTTCATGCAAACGTGCGAGAAACACCACAGTTGAAGCTGATCTGAGCTGCAGCTAAGAAAGAAGCTCGGCAGGCCAAATCTCCCCTCTCCTTTTTGACTCTGCTGCTCAAAGGGCTAAGCTGCTGTTATGGGTGGGAAACATCAGCGGCCCAGTGGATTGTTTCTGTCTGTGTTTTCACCATCTGGTTCAACAGCTCCCAAGAAGAGGGATGTTGTGAAACATGTCTGCAGAACAACACGTCAATGTTCAACAACATGTCGTGGAATTCCTACGGTCCTACTTCCACATCCCAAGAGTTCTTTGGCTTGAGATGCAATGGTTTTTTCGAACATCAAATTTTCGCTGCACCAATGAACCACAGTTCTACAAATGAACCACATTCATCTGGCGTTTGGCAACACCGTGTGCTTGGATGTGCTATTTATTGCTTGCAAGAAGGGAGTAGCAGCTCATCAGGTGGAGCTGGTTGGCCAGACTGTGACACAGGAGAGAGTAAATAACCAATTGAGCCTGTCCGAAGCATCAAAAACGCAGTTCCTGTCCATGTCATCCAAGTGCAACGCCAAATATTACATTGTACAATTGTATATTATATTCATTCACATCATTCCTGAACATGAAGATCTTTGAAGGAAGTTTTTTCCGCGTGTTCCCCACTGGTCTGTCTGTCTGTCTGTCTGTCTGCCTGCCTGCCTGCCTGCCTGGCTGCCTGGCTGGCTGGCTGGCTGGCTGGCTGTCTGGCTGGCTGTCTCTCTGTCTGTCTGTCTGTCTCTGTCTGTCTGTCTCTGTCTGTCTGTCTCTGTCTGTCTGTCTCTGTCT